CTCGAAACCCAACTTTTCTTCGCATCTATCCATCTTTGCACCACCTTAAGCGACCACGAGTGACCAAATTATTATTCAAGAATTCACGAAAACTACTTAAACCCAAAACAAGACTTGGGAATCTTGTCTCGCAAACGGGAGGATCGAATGCAGGTGGGTGAGCAGTGGCTAGTTGGGGATTGGTGCTTTATTCGTGAGTTACAATTTCCTACTGAAGATGTCTGTCACCGCGGGACCGAGGAAATTGGGTCGCAGAATTGTGGGCCGAAGACTTATTCGCCCAACTCAACAGTCTCCACGACAGACAAACCTCTTTCTCTTGACAGCGGAGCCGACACGTCCAACCAATTATTGCGTCGAGATGGACAGTCCAGTCAAGTTGAGGTTCTACTCGTTGCTCTTTCCAGCCAAGTGATCCTACTTCGTTCAGATCAGCGCCTCTACTGACCAGACCCATTCGGGCGACTGAGATCTTAATCACCGTTGCATACCAAAATTAGGCTTTTTGGCTCTAAGGGCAGTTCGTAACTGTAAACATTGGAAGAAAAGTTGGAATCTCTTGCTTCATAATTGTTGAGTTTACTCCATTTCAGATGAAAGTGTGCGGTGAAGAGATTCGAAAGTCGATCTCACCAGAAGATGATTACGGATCTCTTTCGCCTCTTCTGGAACATTCTCGTTGATGCTGTTTCCGAGGTAGTCTACTTCGATTCCGGTAAAAACGTGCTAAACATTCGTCCTTCTATCTTCGTAATTGACATTCAATATTTGCAAAGAAAAGTTGTGTTTTGATGAATCTTTTGATTCATATTTGTCGACTTTACATCCATTTTGAGTGAAAGTGTGCGGTGAAGAGATTCGAGGGTCGGTTCCACCAGAAGACGACCAGCAACGGATTCCTCTTGACAAGCTGTCGTTTGGCTTTACTTGAACATTCATGCTGACGCTGTCTCCGAGGTGTAATCCCGTTCGATTCGGGTGAAAATGTGCTAAGCTTTCGTACGTCATGTGACGAACATCATCACAGCAAGGTATCATTCTCACAACCAAATTCAAGCTTACAAGTTTTCTTGACTCGAAATCTCCGGAATCGAAGGAGATTCTCTCGGAAACAGCGTCTGCATGCATCTTGTAGTCAAGCCAATCGACAGCTGGTCGTCTTCTGGCGGTACCCACCTCCGAATCTCTCCACGCAACACTTTTACTCGAAATAGAAGTCAGCTCAACAATTATGAAACAAGAGATTCTTGGAAAAACAACTATTCTTTGCAAATGTTGACTGTCAATTTCAACGATAGAAAGGCGAAAGTCTAGCACGTTCTTACACGAATTGAAGGAAACTACCTCGGAAACACCATCAACGAGAATGTTCTAGAAAAGGCGAAAGAGATCGGCCATCGTCTTCTGGTGGAACCGACCTTCGAATCACTTCACCCAACCAACACTTTCACTCGAAATGGAAGTAAGCTGAACAATTATGAAATCATATACTCCTTAAAAGAACTTTTCTTTGCAAATGTTGACTGTCAATTGCAAAGATAGAAAGACGAAAGTCTAGCACGTTTTTACCGGAATTGAAGGAGCCTACCTCGGAAACACCATCAACGAGAATGTTCCAGAAAAGGCGAAAGAGATCCGCAGTCATCATCTGGTGGAACCGACCTTCGAATCTCTTCACCCAACCAACACTTTAACTCGAAATGGAAGTAAACTCAACAATTATGAAACAAAACAGTCCTCGAAACCCAACTTTTCTTCACATATTTTGTGTTGGTGAGACATGCCGGCCTATTCGACACGGATTGTGAAGCAGGAAACTGTATGTAAAGGCCGTCGGGTCCAGTGGTCAGAAGAGACTGGACATGAGCTGGCCTGGGCTGGTCTCGACCGAGTCGGTTTGCTGGTTGTGATGCGTGCGCTGGTGAAATTGGGCGATTAGGCAGTACGTTGCATGTGACGCCTGGTGGTATGAAGTGGAGTAAGATCTACTCACACTTGATTGGTGGATTGAAGGAGAGAGAGAGAGAGAAAGAGAGAGGCGACTCGACTCGTCTGCTCACTCACATTCATCCAACATGTCAACTTGACCTCCTCGGCCGA